CATAGCGACCCCTCCTTGGGTTTCTGAGGCAGTATCACTACGGAAGTAGATTGCCCCATCTTCCTTCCGAGGAGTGGCTGGTAGGTTTGAACCACCAGCCTCCAGGTTAGCAGTCAAGTGCCTTAGGCACTACGTATTAGTAGATCTTAATAAAGCTACCGTCTGCCATCACGATACCCAGGAGCAAAATAAAAGCCAACAACTAGATGAAAACCATACTTTGGAAACACAAAAGATTTAGTAAGATGTGTCAGGGAAGAAGAAGACTTGAAAATCATAGTCTCTTGTTATTTTTACCTGGGGCAAAACAAATGTATGTTTATCAAAAATTAAGCAAAGATTCAGAAAATCCATTGAGGAAAAAAAAGCTGGGTTATCAGAAAATGCATATATTTTTGCAGTTACAATTTTTATGTTCAAATCAGGGCAGTTTCTAAAGTGATGTATTCCATTTTTAGTCTATTTGGAAAATATGAAAATATGTTTTTAATAAAAAAAATAACTTCTAAAATTAAATAAACTTTGCTATTCCTAATGTGCTCCTGAATCCTCCAATTACCCAGTGAAATAGACACGCACACCTAGCCCTAAGGATGCTTATAGGAGTGATCATGTCCTCCCCTTTTGTAATCAAGAGGAAATTAAAGTGAAAAGAGGATACCCTGTGACAGACACTATGCAGAATGTGCTGGGACCCATTTTCATACATTCCTGATGAAGGAATAAACCTCACAAATGAATTACTTTCCTGCTAATTCATGTAAAGCCTGAGCGTACAGTGAAAATTCTCTTAAATAAATATTTGATAAATGAATCAAATTCTGGCATACTAAATTGCCAAAATATAATGACTGCCTGACCTGATAAAGAGAATAATTACATTTAATGAATAAGCCTGCCAGGGACAGATATGCAGAGGAGCACCTGCTTGATGCTGCCCACTTCTCACACTTAACAGCAGAATGCCAAGTGATTGCATATGCCTAGTTCTAGTTCTTCCACTTACGGAATGAGGAAATTCCAGTAGAGTAGGTACCACTCAGCAATTTTTTATTCCTGCATTGACCTTTATTTAAAATAAAATTTAAAAACCTAAAACCTGAAACAGTGAACCCATGGACAGTCTTTATATAGTGCATTTCCACTGCATAAATATTGGGGTCACAGGTAGATAAAGAAATATACTGGCCAACTAGATTTAGAATAGACAGTAACACTAGCAATGGTTTTATTTTCCTGGGATCTGAGTGGAATATGATAAGGAAGGCACAAATAGTCCACCATTGACCCCTTCCCTGAGTTCTCTTAAGTGTAAAATGTTTCTAGAGCAGTACTTCTGATATTCTGAAGGGCATATAAATCATTGAAAATCTGGTAAAAAATAAAGAGCCGAGGGAGAATTCCTCACCGGTGTCTAGGGATGCTAGTGCTGCCAGTACATGATCTCATTAGGGATGTGCAGTTGAGTAGTGCACTGTGAACTGCACCATTTTAGAATGGCCCTTCAATTGGGAGCTTAGCTATGCTCTAGCCATTTACCAGCCAGAGAAGCTAAGCCTCACCTATGGCCCTTGTTTCTCCTCCATCAGCCTTTAGGGTGAGCCCACAAACCAGTTCCATGTTGTTTTCCTTCCCCAATAATCATTGTGATTTCAGTGCATCTCCCACCAGTAGAACCCCCTCCCTCTCCACACATCACCACCCTTACAAAGTACTGTGCTTGTGGCACTGTATTCTAAGTGGGTCATGGATACTCCTACTTTGCTGGTAAGTTTCATATTATTAACTGAAGTGTAATCATAGTGCCTCTCCTTGACACATGGGAAAAGTGATATGAAAGAAACATGAAATGCAGGGGAAAAAACCAGCATGCAAATATAAGGTCTTATGATCTCAAATGCTGGGATTTTTTAAATAATGAAGATGAAAAGAAGTGAACTGTAGTTATTCTTTATAGTCCAGGGTGCATGAGCACTGTGCCTGCCCTGTGCCTGTGCCACGTAAAGAGGAACCCTGTACACTCATGGTGGTGCGGCATCAGGGCAGTCACAAAAGTCTTGAGTAAATTCTTGCAGATTAGATTTTGTTTTTTGCATTCCTCCTCTTCCCATATACCCTCAGAGATCTTATTTGATGGAAACATCCATGAAGACCATCTCTTTTTTATCCAATTAAGTTATTAAAAGCAACTCAAATATTCTTATAGAGGATTCCTGACATGATAGCTCTGTAGAGTCACTGGGATTAAAAACTAAAATTTGAATTAATTATCTTAAATGCCTCAGCCCAATTAAAATAAAAGTAAATATAATCTTGGCAAAGCTTTATCCTCTTTAGCTTCAGTAAGCAAACTGTTGACCAACAGGAGGCAAGCAATTGGCACAGCCCAAAGAAGACGACAAAGAGGTGGGCTGGCGTTCAGTTGTGCATCTCCTAGGACAGGCCTCCTTGTCTGATGACAACATCTTTCGGAGCAAGCTAACTTCGGTAGAGGGCTTCTTTGTAACTTTGGTGAAGGCTCTATTTTCAGAAGTCCCCATGCCTATGATACATATTCATGCCAGCACAGGCAATCAGAAGCAAATAGATTTCCAGTAAACCTTGCCAGCAGGGATAAAGATGCACAGCACAGCAGGACACAAGAAAACTGTTTAGTCAAATTAGAAGACAGATTTTACTCTAAGAGACGGCTGCTGTTCTCCCTTCTTGACCCTTTCTGTGGAAAGCAGACAAAGCTGTGAAAATCTGTCCTTTGCTGAGACACTGGTTCCACTGTGTGGTCTCACTTCTGGGTATCTCTCTAGTCCTGCAGACCTGGGAGAAGCATGACACTCCAGCACCCTATCCACATATGCAGGGGTATTGACATTACCAACGTTTGGCTTCACTAGCCCTGGGTCTTACCACAAGAAAAGTTTGTGTCACCAAGAGTGCCCCACATCCTTATCATAAGCCTTTTCGTGACATATTCGTCAACTGACTGTCTTTCCCACCAGACTGAGGTTTCACCCCATCAAAGTGAGAGCCGTAGGCTGGAGACATATTTCATTTTACCCAGTCTGGGTGTCCCTGCACACAGTGTTCACCCTTTTTTTCCCCACTTTTGTCCACTTAAAGTGAAACACACATACCATACACACATAAACCAATGAAAGACTGAAAGTATTTCTAACAAATAATCAAATGTTTTTTCTCCACTGAAAGCTCCTCAGGACTACCTGATATCAGCTATGTCAGTCTCCCCATCCAATATCAGCCACATGTATGCAGTTGTAATTTAGAGATTTAGCTAGTTAATTGTTTTTGTTTGTTTGTTTTCAAATACCTGTTTGTTCCAATACCTTCCGACCTGCGTTCTCTCTGCTCAAATTTATTGCAGAGTTGGATTTGTGGAAATATCAGATATATCCTAGTTACTGTCTTTATCCTTATTGTCACTATGAAGTACCTTTTCATGATATCTCAACACCAGAAATTGTAGTCCCATATTATTCTTCTCCTAAATATAGCCCTTGTTTTTAAAAACAAACTTGAATATTTACTTAACAAATTCATTACTCTATTAAGTGAGAGTTAAAGGAAATGCTCACTGATTTAGATTCCAAGAGTTAGGACTACTTATAGGAAAGCAGTATATTTCTTTTTCTCAGATACCTGCTCATTCCTTTGTTACATACAGAACATAGGGACATGTGGTACCACACAGACCAGAGGTTCGAACATTTTCTTAGTTGCAAAATTCAGTAGTATTACCCCTGAAAGAATCCCCTAATAATAAACTAAATTGCATCTTTTAGAATATTTGTACTGAACATATAACTTGTCTTCTGTGGATATAAACAAACAATAAAGGTTTTAGAATTTGTGAGGAAAGAAAAAGCAAGAAATCTCATTGCAACTCTGATTTTCATGCCCTGCCACAGGGAGATTCGGGACTTTTATTTGGAAGCCGTTGAGCTTCCTTCACAGTATCTTAACTTCTCATTTTATTTAATCTCTCTCTCCCTCCCTCTCTCTCTCTCTCCCTCTCTCTCTCTCTCTCTTTCTCTCACCCGCACACTCCCTCTCTGTCTCTTTCCTGATTTGCCTGCTTAGGGACAGACAGGTAATGGAGAAGAAATTGAAAGGGAAAATACAGGGAAAATGTAAATGAAAAGAAGTTATTATAACTGTTATAATGAAGTGCCTTTCATTTAAATATAAGAATGTAACGCTGAAATGAACTTGTGATCCTGAAATGCATTTTTAATGAGTTTCCTTTTTATTTTGCTGCTTCAGTGGCATATTTTAAAGACCCTTTGAAAAAAGCCACATTAAAAACCCCACCAAATGCCACAACATGCAAAATTGGATATTGGTTTATTCCAAAACTGCTGATCAGGAAGAGTGGCTCTTCATCACAAAATGTTGCAGTCACTTTATTTAAATGAGTTTGAATTTGCATTGTGATGTGCCATTCTGATTTAGGAAAAAAAAATTAGATTTTCAGATCAAATTGACCCAACCAGTGAAGCGTTAAGAAGCTGGCAGGTTTAGTCTGAAAGCCTCATGTTCTATCAAACCTGCAGCTGGTGGAAGTCACAGAGCACCAGTGGGAACAACTTTCTCACTGAGATTCCTTCTTGTTCCAGTGTTAGAGTTTTGTTCTCACATACCTCTCCCTCTCCTCCTCGCAGGGGAACGCCCTTTCCAGTGTAATCAGTGCGGCGCCTCTTTCACTCAGAAAGGCAATCTCCTGCGCCACATCAAGTTACATTCTGGGGAGAAGCCCTTCAAGTGCCACCTCTGCAACTACGCGTGCCGTCGGAGGGATGCCCTCACGGGCCACCTGAGGACACACTCAGGTAGGTCCCTTGGGCATCCTGGGTACTAGACAACCCTGCTTTGTCAGGGCAGTGACCCCTCTCATGTACTGAGTACATGGACACTGTCTTCATTGCGCACCTCCCAAGCTCAGTCCCAGGGTGAAGTTCTCCATCTGATATTGTCCATCATTTATTTTGAAAGATGTCTTTGGGTAGTTCAAATGGTTAATGCACTCAGCTGCTAGCTGAAGGATTAGAGGTTTGAGTCCACCCAGAGGCACCTCAGAAGAAAAGCCTGTGATCTACTTCCAAAATATCAGCCGTTGAAAACCCTATGGATTTATTACAGTGACACACATGAGGTCACCATGAGTCAGATTCGACTAAACAGCAACTGTTTTTTACTAGTTTACATTGACATCCTTACCCCTGCTCCACCCCCAATATGCCCTGCTTTTCCCAATAAATTTGTGGAATGGGATGGGAAAATGCACACAACACACATACTCTCTCTCTCTTTCTCTCTTTCACTCTCTCTCTCTGCCTATCTCACACATACACACTAGGAAGCCCCATGAAAATGTTTAAGAAGAATTCTCCCTGTCGCATTTTATCAGGTAACTGGTTTTTTAAAAGATTTCACCAGCTGTACTTTTTACAGAGTGCTAGTGGTGAAAAAGTTCCCAACTATCTTTCTTCATGTTGATTTTTAAACCACATTCATTGCTGCTTTATGCCAAGTATTTTTAATTACAGTAATTGATACATTTTTCTTAGCCAAATGAGAGAAGAATTGATTAGGGCTCTCAGTTACCTGCTGCTGTTAGGTGTAGACCAGTTAACTGAGGCTCTCCTCCCTGGACCATGTCTCTTATACTGCAAACCGGTCAAGGGCTTTGTTGGGAGGACTAATTTGGGGCTGTTGCTGAACTTAGGATGATAGCACTTCTTTCTGAGTGAGAAAATAACATATCCCACACCATCCAAAGGTCTCAGATAAATCATAATTTGCATAAATGCTCAGTAATTCTTGAAACTCTCCCAACCTGTGAAGCAAATCCAACTTTAATTAAACCCTTTTCTTCCTGAGAAATCTCCCTCAGTATTTCATTATCAAATAGCCCTCATCATCTCACACTTTAGAGGAAAATAGTTCTTGGCTAACTTTTATGTGTATGTTTGCCTGTGGTGTGATCTACGTGATATGAACCACAGATATTTTTCTGCCTCAGTCAATCATATTTGAGGTGGGGCACTACACAGAGGATCTGGAAGCTGAGAGACTATTGGGACACATGTTCCTGTCCTCATTGAGTTTACAACCTCAGTCATCTGTTCAGCCCATTTCCATTGAGTGTCTGCTGTGAAAAGGTGCTGTGAGTGCCTTCCCTCTAGATTTGGCCACCCACAAGAGAGCCTAATAAAGAAGATTATCCCTGAGGAGGACAGCAACTCTGTGTTCCTTTGAGAGAGGCTTTCATGGGCTCTGTCTTCTGTCCAGAAAGTGATAAGTGTGTTTAAGAGTTCGGGTTTTAGAGGGCTCTTCATCTTGTTCATCTCTTTGTCACACATTACTGAGCATCTTAGGCAACTCATTCTTCAGTGGGGAAGACAAGTATAAACGAGTAAATAAATATGTTTTACAAGGGCTACAACAGAAGCATCTGAGGGGGTGGAGGGAGAATAAGTGAGAGGCAGCAGGTATCAGGAGAGACTTCCAACAGAAGGAGGGCCTCGAGTGCATGCTGAAAGGTAAGTTCCTGTTCTGGTTACCTAGTGCCACTCTGACAAGAAATATATCACAGATGGGATGGTCTTAACAAACAGGAATTTATTCTTACAATTTGGAGGCTTTAAGTCCAAGTTCAAAGTGCCAGGCTCTAGGGGCTGGGTGAAAGCCCCTCAACCTTGGGGTTCAGCTCTGCCTCCTGCTCCCGGCCCACTGGAGCTAGAGCCATTTCTTCACTCAGACAGCCGCTGGCTGCTGAGGCTGAGAAGCCCCAAGGCTGACAAGTAAAAAGGCACAGTCCCGATGTTACCAAACCACACAGCAGGCCATTAACTTAAGACCATTCTAAGTCCCAAGGTCGGCAGAGCATGGCAGGCTGCTGAGCAACGACACGGCTACATGCAGGGTCCAAGCATGCCATAGGCTAGAGACCATTCTCAAAGCTTCTGGTTATATACAGGAAGCAGACCACATACCCAAAGGCAGCTACTCAGCTGCTCCCATTCGATTCCACCATGGAGTTGATTACCAGTCTCTTCATGAGGAATACTACATCCTGCTGCCCATCCACTCAACCAAGCCTAGCCAAGTTGACATACAAAGATAATCATCACAGTTCCTAAAGTTTACCTTTAGAAAAGTTCCAAATGAATGTGTAATTTCCTAAGTGACCCCAGAAAGAAGTATGGTACAAATTACAAATTCTTACAAGCATTGGCGAGAACTTTGTCTTTCTCCTCATGAGTAGTACCTGCGGAGGTTCCCCAGACTGGTGAAGACAAGATGGAGGGGAGCCATAGGGAGGGACATTGAGTGCTAGTTCTGTCACAGGTGCCCAAATAGACCATCTTCTCTTGATTCCATCTCCTTCCTACTATTAAACATGGAGCAGCCTTCCATAAATCCTATTAATCATAACAGTGGGGTGATCTTCCAAAAAAGAAGCCATGCCAAGCTAAAGAACTGCCCTTCCATAGAGCAAGACAGATCAGGGGAAAGGACAGTGGAGTAAGTGCTGCTACATCGCTTCATGGTCAGCACACATACTCAGTACTGGGGAAGGGTTTGCTGCAGGTGGTCAAGGAGAACAGATGGCTCCTCAAAAATGAAATGACAGTATGACAGGGAGCATGCTTAAATGTATATATGTGCTAATAATGCTGAATATGTGTTGTTGTCCTGCCTAGTGGTGCAGGTGGGGTGAAGGAACTACATGATGAACAATACCCTTACAAGCTTCAGGTGTGGTGATTCTATAGCCTGTGTCCAGGGCCTTGGGGTAAGGGGGGTGGGGCAGAAACTACTAATATATCATTTGTAAGGTCGCAAGTACATGTAAACTTAATTGACCATAATACAGTGTTCAAGATGATAGAAAGCATAGCTTCTCATGCAGGCAGAAAACACAAATAATTGTTCATTCAAAGAGGTATCACTCTCTTTTCTTTCCTCTTATGAAATTAGCAACATCTAGAACTCTAATTATGATATAATGTTATTCTGGCTGCATGCCTGCTATTTCATTCAAGGCAAATTGGCATCCTGCCTTAAGTATGACTAATTACTTGGATAATTGTATATAGCAGGTAGTAGGCTATGAACAGTTTATTTCTAGTATAGATCCACTGATGAGCAAGTGAGTGATATGGTTGTGAGAAAACTGTTATGGACCCAGGGATTGTGGTGATTCTTGTATCTTAAAGTAACATTGACACTACATTCTTAGAAATAAAACAGTGATTTGTGTCCTACAAAATGACTTCACTAGAATCAAACGAAGATTCTAGTCTTTGTCTGACAAACTCAGTTGTGGCCACCTGTCTATTCCATTGTGGAATGACCACTTCCCTATTCCATTAAAAATCGTGATCAATCAACCTCACAGCTTTCCCTGCCAATTGGTTGTGGCCTAAGTTTCCAAAGACCAAAATATTATTGGCAATATAGCTGTAGAATCTGTCCTATACTGATTATAAGAGCAGCTTGGCTGATCTTCCAGGGTAAAGAGGGGATCCCCTTCCTTTCTTCACTGCTTTCTTTGGAAGTTTTAAACTCAGAGATGTTTTTTTCCTGTAGAATATTAGCTGTATTTTCATATACACTCAAGTTCAGTCGATTGCAGTGAACACGTTTCTTATATTCTAGGCACAAAATCAGTCATTTACTCAGGAGCCCTGGTGGTGCAGTGGTTAAGCACCCAGCTGTTAACCAAATAATTAACAGTTTGAACTCACCAGCTGTTCCATGGGAGAAAAATGTGACAGTCTGCTTCCATAAAGATTATAGCCTTGGAAACCCTGTGAGGCAGTTTTACTCTGTTGTATAGGTTCACTATGAGTAGGAATTGACTCAAGGGCAGAGGGTATGCCATTTATCCTGACCAGTGATTTTGACCATGGGATTTGCTAAATTTAAAACTTTTCCAAAAAAGGACCTTGAGGAGCTCTCTATATTAATTTCTAAAAGCAGAACTTAAAATGTTCAGTTTTAGGCAACATCGTATATTTCAACATTACTTCCTGGTGTTGGGAGTGTATCACTCTCTATAGATAAGGAAAGATCCCTTTCTTTCTCTACTACATTTTCTAGAAGTCTAATTTTGATTTTCATATTACTCTTCTTAAACTATAGCTTCTTATCACCTAGGAAAGAGGTTTAATTGACACAAGTATTGAATAAACCATTTTTCTAAACATTTTTATTTGGATGTTTTTGACTTCTATATATACTTTGAAAAATGTGAAATCAAACAACATGAGAATGAAGTATAAAAGAAAAGATGCTGCTCTTAAGGTGGGAATTTGTATTAGTTTTTTAAATGATGGATGGTGCAGAACCAGGCATTGTTTCGGTCTGTTGTAGATATGGTGGCTGTGAGTCAGAACTAACTCGACGGCTCCTAAACAACAATATATAAGTGATTGAAAATGCTTTGTCTATTTCATCTCTTACAACATTATCTATGTAAGTCTTTAGACTTAAGCATAATATGGATTCTTTGCCAGTCCTCACTATAAAAATTCAGTAAGTGCTAAACTTGTATAGAACCAAACTGCCCAATACAGTAGCCAATACCTATGTGTGGTATTTAAATTTTAACCAGTTAATACTAAACCAATGTAAAAATTAACCTTCTCAGTGGCACTAGTCACAATTTAACTACTCAGTAGCCATGCAACACTAGTCTCTACCATATTGAACAGCACAGTGGCAGTCATATTGCATGGTATGGAGATAGAGAATGCCTAATCATCACAATAAATTCTATTGGACAAAGCTGATCTAGGTATTATGTCATCATAAAGGTCTTTGGGGAGACAGCATAGCTTTTCCAAGTTAAAACAAGAAAATTTATCTTGGAAATAAAATGCTCATTGCATATTTATCTTTTATGATTTCTTAAAGACCTTACATTATTCAGTTTCTAAAGTTAAAATTGAATTCACATTGGTTGCATTCTGTCTAGTACCAGTGCTATACCAGACCTAGCCCCAGCATGGACCTGAACCCAAGGCATACTTTAGAGGGAAATATGAATGGATCCAGCTGACACAAGGACCTTCTCAAGTCTCTTGAGAAGTTGTTTGACATCCACATTATAATACTACAAGTAGTTATTTCCCTTAGTTAAAAGATAGGCTTTATTGACTTAGTATGAGGACATTAGGTAGTCATTAGTCAGTACAGTCAACAAATTAAAATGAAATAAGAGTCACGTGGTTCTTGGTACAGTCAAGGAACCACCTAGGCATTAACATTTTTAAATTCAGTCATTTTGACCAAGTCCATAATGCTTTCATAGCTCTCAAGAGTAGAGTTTTTTGTTTTTGTTTTTGTTTTTTTACTTTTTTGCTAATAATTGTATTGCATGCATTCCCATGACACATAAGGCCGACATTTAATTGGGGTCTTGAACTCAATTGTGTTTTCTGCAGTTGGTAAACCTCACAAATGTGGATATTGTGGCCGAAGCTATAAACAGCGAAGCTCTTTAGAGGAACATAAAGAGCGCTGCCACAACTACTTGCAAAGCATGGGCCTTCCAGGCACGCTGTACCCAGGTAAGCGCAGAGAGCTCACAGCGACCCTGGAGCTGGCTCTCCCTCTCCAGCAGGCGGGTGAAGAGGGCCTTCCACACATGGCTTTGTCAGCAGATCCAAAGGCCTATCTTGCCACCACCGCTGGGATGAATGGAGGGACATTTTTGGCACAGTTACAAAAGGAGCACATTGTGCTTTCCCACTTTGTAAATCTTCCATAGACCAGTCCTCACTCCACTCAAGAGAGCTTGGCTTTAGGACCTCTCCCCCTTGAAATCTGAGGAAAGTTCTAAGGTAGTAATGACCCTCAAAAGTTTTTAGGTTTTTTGTTTTTGTTTTTTCTTTTTTTTGTAAAAAAAAAAAAAGAACCTGGAGTATCTGTTGCTTCTTTGTACGTAATAATCAGAAAAGATGTGAAATCTTGTTTTAAAACTATCTTTTCATAAAATTGATCAAATTATGAACCTTCAGACTATGTTTTCCTTCATCAGTTCAGACCAAGGGTACAGTATCTGTACCTGCTTTGCTCATGAGGTTGAAGCTTATTGACAGAGCTGTGTATTTTACATACATTTTGATTTTGACAGTCAGTAGTACTGAGGTTGTCAAATGATTAAACAAAAGATTGCTTTTTTCCTCTGAGCATCAGTGCTTGGTTGTATATTGCATAACAAGATAGCACTTGACTCTAATCTTAGATAATATAAAGTGAAACATGTACGGAGAGTGCTGAAGAAGGCTGGATTTACTCAGAGGAATGACAGTGTGATTAAAAAAAAAAGCACCTTTCTAACTTTTTAAGAGATAAGGAATTTATAAATAGCTCAACTGGACTTAACCTCCTTCATAACACAATGCATTTAGTACTACAGCTGAAAGAATCATCATTGGACCCAGGGGTAGAAGTTAAATTAATAGTTAAGAATTTATTAAGCCTCAGCCAGCTTTCTAACTTGAAAAGATTGTTCGCAAAGGAAAATTCACCAGAGCACACTTAGATTATTAAAGGCAGATGAGAACAAGGAGAGAATGGTCAGAATGGAGTCCTAAACACTGGTTCACATGAGTCTTGATACCGAGAGCCAGTGTGTTACATAGCAGGAACTCCGCGGTTCCAGCAGTGAATCTTCCACATGTCACCTGTGAGTTGCGGGCTCACAGTTGATTGCTCTGGGCCTTAATCTTCTCATCTGTGAAATGATGAGATTCCATTAAATTATCAATTCACTTCCTTCAAAGTCTAAGGGATATTTCTATAGAAAGTTTTCAGAGGTAAGTGGAAGAGGCGAAACTCACTGAAAAGAAAATAAATAAGTAAATAACTATCAATTCATGGCCATAGTCCAGGGTAGGAGATTGAAGGATGAGAGATTGGTTTTGTTCCTTTAAAATAAAATATAAACATCCAGATACTGTGTTTTTCTGTAAAAAAAATAGTAAGTGCTTCTTAAGACATATTTTACATTATTAATGTTTAAATAAACATTAATAATAATGTTTACTCAACACATATTTATTGAGAACATATTAGCTACAGCACCAAGCTCCATTAACTATAATAATCTGAATTTCTCTTAAAATTACATATATGAAATTGAGACAGCAAATGAACAAAAGAAATAGGATACATCGTTTTTCTCTACCATTTTGGTTACTAAAGAAACAAACTTCAGTGAAACACCCACTTCAACTCTTCTTCCATGGGAGAACCAGCAGTATTTTAAGGATACTTCAATTTGAGTCTTATCCCTGAATCTGCTCTTGAATGTGACCCTAGGCGCAGTACTTAAATGTTGAACAATAATTTTGGCCTGGCCAACCTTATGAAAATGCTCTAGGAAAAGCATGAGATTAGAGTGGATGTGAGCACATCATGAACATTTAGGTCACTGAAATATTGACACTTTCAACTTAATTCTCTTCAAGGGGCTATTTCCATATACTTATAGACCAGTCAGTTATATTAACTATTACCCTGTGGTTAGGATGAATTTAACCCCAAAATATCCATTTATTCCCTTTAGTGACCAAATTATTTGGAATACCAAAATCACGTCTTTACATTTTCACACTGGGGAGATTAGAAGGTTTCTCCTAGACAATGACCATCCTTACAGTAAGGGCCAATCATCTGTCCTCCTTGTGGCTGCAGATGGGGTCAGAGCCAGCAAGGAAGCATTTGACTGTAACTGGTATCACATCAGATATGCAGAGTGAATGCAAACATCTTTGAGACAGAGACCATCTTCTCCTTATCATTGCCAATACTTAGCTCCGGTAGGTGAGCAGGAAGTGCTGACTTAAGTAATTTGGAGTGTAGAGGGAATTCATTAAAAAAACTTTAATGCAGAGTCCTCCAGGACTACATTTGGGTTTGGAAGACAGACAGTGGGGTGGTGAGTTCCTTGTCATGTCAGTTCTGCTTTTCTGAGGCTGGTAGGACATTTTCGTTCTTATGCATAGCCCATCCTGTCCTTCTCACAGTCACCTCCTAGAGCAGTCTCTTATTATTGCTCACAGGGATAGCAGAGTAGTCCTTTCCTGTCCAGTCCACCTTAGGTTGTGTCATTTTTCATTTCTTTGTGTTTGACAAAAATAAAGCCTATCTTACAACTTGTAGAAGATTAATTTTTCTGAACAGTTTTCTTTACTAGAGGCTTTCTCATTAGTAGTTACAATTTCCTAATAACTATTCAGAGAAATAGAAAACTTTGTCCTGGGCTTTGGGTGCACAAGTTGTGTTGCAAGACCTAAGAGGCATCTAAGAACAAAGTAGCTAGTGATTCAAGAGCTTTGGACTCTTTTGTCCTTTACTGTTATCAACTCTGCAGTTCATGGGAGACCTGCAGGTACCCTGGGCAGGCCACATTTCCTTGCTGTTCAGATAAGTATTGAATATGGAAGAAAGCATATTAGCTTGAGAGGTCAAGTGTATGACCAGTGGAATTGAATTTTGTGGATTTTACATGTATACTTAATATAAATCAGGGTAAAGAATATACTCAGTATGTGCTATGTATGTTTGTTCATTTAATAACATGCATATTTTTAATTTCTAAAAATTGAAGATACCAGCAATAATAACCAACTTGAAATGTATTTTTAAAGTGGCATTTATAATGGCAATGAAGAATAAATTACTTAGAAATAATCTCAGCAAGTAACTTGAACGTTACAGTGAAGAAAGCTACTAAACATACTAGATAAGAAAGAACATTTGGAAAAAGAAAGAGAGAAGAAAATTATGCTTGTTGATAGGAGGACAGGACACTGCACTTCCATCCTCCCCAAACCAATTCATACTTCTAACACAAGTTTGTTTTATGAATTTTATTGGAATTGGTAGCCATATATTTGAAAGTATATCTGAAGAAAGAAATTGGCAATTTTTAAAAAAAAGAGTAATGCCTGATACTGCATTAAAATGTGGCTGTAATGTATGGGACTCTTGGAAGTATAGACAGACAAATCAATTACAGAAGTGGACAAACCTCCAAAAGACTATGTCACAAATCAGCATATATTGTCTGAGAAAGGAGGAAGCAAAGGGCTATGGGATTTAAATGGATTGTTACAAAACCATTTTTGGAAGAGTGGATTAGCTATTTGAAAAATTATCAGTTTATATTTTCAACTCTTTATATAACTGCTTATGTATTAGAATAAATTGTAGAGAGATTCAAGAATTATATTTCAAAAAAATCTAACCATAAAAACTAGAAGAAACTATAGGTAAGGCAATGTAGGATATAAAATTGTATCTTACAGAAAGAAGTTACAGAAAATAAAAATTGACTAGAAATAGTCCAAACATCCATCTTTCCCTCCATAATTTCTAGGGTTTTTTATGATATGCAGGAAGTGTTTCTTTATTGGGACTTTACTGTGTTTTCAGGGAAAAGGAACCCTTGGCCTTGGCCCTGCCTCTGCCATAATGTAATGTAAGATTTTGAGCAGCTGTGATTCTCTCTGCATCTCAGTTTGCTGTTCAAAATGATGAATTGGACCTTTAGGTAATTTCCAGATCTGACAGTTCTTTGATTTAGAGGATTGTTGCCAGGATTGACTGAGTGAGTGGATTTGGGAGTATTAAAAAGTTAAAAAGTACTCTTAAATAGAGCACAATTATTTCTGGACTCTGATAGTGGTGGTGCTTGTTCTTGTGATTTTAGGGGATAATGTTCAATTAGTAAGTATCAGAGTAAGAAGCATTAGCAGTTGGCTGCTCATTTGTATTGCTGTGATCTACTCTGTCTGGCTGGCAGGTTTCTTGTGAAGATTAGACATAATCTCTATAAAGGGCCTGCCTCTAGTAGGTGCTTAACAAATGTCAGATTTAACACTGGATGCAGCTGAATCTTTTAAACTTAAGCATTTCTAAATTGGCCTCTCTAATTGTCTTTGACTTTAGTCATTAAAGAAGAAACTAATCACAGTGAAATGGCAGAAGACCTGTGCAAGATAGGATCAGAGAGATCCCTCGTGCTGGACAGACTAGCAAGTAACGTCGCCAAACGTAAGAGCTCTATGCCTCAGAAATTTGTTGGTAAGAGTTAAACGTTTGCTGTCTCTTAAAAAAAAAAAAAAATACTACCCATATGTTTTAGACTTAAGTGATAATTAGTTGAAGGTAGAAAAAGGACAATAAATTTTATTTTTACAAAGTAAAAAGTGGTGAGTTTAACATTTATCTTAGGGTTTTTTTCAACAAATCTCTTAGAAATTTAAAACAGAAGATGAGAGAGTTTAAATGCACCAGACCAGCCTTACAAAAAATACTTAGAGTTCTGCAGATGGAATAGAAAAGGCTAGAAAGTAATTCAAAATACATAACAAAGAGAAATTCATGGACAAGTAGATTGCCCAATCTTCCTTCCAAGGAGTGGCTATTGGATTTGAACCACCAGCCTTCTGGTTAGCAGTCAAATGCCTTAGGCACTATGCCACCCGACTCCCAATGTAAGGGCTAGCAGTAAGATATTCATGCTTGATAATACTAAATGTCTTGTCCTTCATGTTTTCTAATTAACAAATATGTAAAAAGCAAGGATAAAATTATATTACAGGGACATGAAATATAGACATAATTAGTGATAACAAAAAAGTGGGGAGAGGAATGGTAAAGATATACAGTTTCTTGTATGCTACTGAAGTTAAATTGGTACCAACTCAGCCGAGAATGTTATGAATACAAGCTCTTAAATGTACCACTCATGGTAACCACTAAGAAAATACATTTAAAATAAAGACAAAATAAAAGGAAAAGGGAACCAAAAAGACTCACAACAAAAAACACAAAAGCAAGCAGTACTAAAGGACAAAGACAAAGAAGACTTGAGACACATACACACACACACAAAAATAATAACAGAAGGTAGAAGTAAGTCACTTCTTATCAGTAATTATACTGAATGTAAATGGACTAAATGTGCCAATCAAAAAGGCATAGAGTGGCAGAATGGGTTACAAACAAATATGATCCAGCTATATGCTGTTTACAAGAGACACGCATTAAACCCAAGAACACAGATAGGTTGAAAGTGAAAGGATGGAAAAAATATCCCATGCAAATAATAACTAAAAGGTGACAGTCTTAATATCAGACAACGTAGACTTTAAGATAAAATCGGTTGGGCTATCTACTTCCATGGTGATACTGCCTCAGGAACCCAACGAGGGGTTGCTATAAGTCAGCTCCAACTCGATGGCACATAACAACAACAAAACAATATATTACATGGTGATAAAAGGGTCTATTAATCAAGAAGAATTAAAAATCATAGCTATATATATATGTGTCCAACATCAGAGCACCTAAATATATAAAGCAAACAGTGATAGAATTGAAGGGAGACATGTTGTTGTTGTTATGTGCCATCGAGTCGGACCCGAGTCATAGCAACCCCTCCTTGGGTTTCCGAGGCAGTATCACTACAGAAGTAGATTGTCCCATCTTCCTTCCGAGGAGGGTTTGAACTGCCAGCCTTCTGGTTAGCAGTCAAGTGCCTTAGGCACTACGCTACCAGAGCTCCCGGAATGAGACATAGTACTACAAAAATAGTTGGAGACTTCAATATACCTCTTTTAATATTAGATAGAAAATATAGAAAGAAGATTAACAAAGAAACAGAGGACCTGATTGACGATATAAACCAACTAGACTTAACAGACATACACGGAACATTCCACCCAAAAACAGCACAATATACATTCTACTCCAGTGCACATGGATCATTCTCTATGATAGACCTCATGTTAGGTCACAAAGTAAGTCTTGATAAATTTAAAAAGATTGGAATGGTACAAAATATTTTCTCTGACCACAACAGAGTCAAGCTGGAAATCAATAGCAGAAAAAAACTGGGAAAATGCACAAACATAAAACTATAGATGGGTCAAAGAAGAAATCAAAAGATAAATCACAAATTTCTTAGAGTCAAAAGAAAATGAAAGCACAACATACCAGAATTTATGGGACACAGCTAAGGCAGTAATCAGAGGTAAATTTATATCAATAAATGCCTACATAAAAATAGAAATAAGATCTCATATTAACAGTCTAACTTGACAACTCTAGGAACTAGAATGTGAAGAACAATCTAAGTCTAAATCTACCAGTAGAAAGGAAATAACAAAATTCAAAACATAAATAAAATCAAAAACAGAAAAACAATAGAGAGAATCAATAAAACCAAAAGTGCTGATTCTTTGAAAAGACCAATAAAATTAACAAACCTTTAGCTAGACTGACAAAGAAGAGGAAATATGCAAATAATCAAAATAAGAAAGGAAAGATGGGACATTACACTGACCCAATAGGAAATAAAGACAGTTATGACAGAATATTATGAACAACTATATGACAAGAAACTGGATTTAAAAAAAAAAACAAAACACTGTCATCAAGTTGATTGTGACTGATAGAAACATTATGGGCATAGTAGAACTGCCTAATAGGTTTTCCAAGGTTGTAATCTTTATGGAAGCAGACTATTACATCTTTGTCCCATAGAGCAGCTGATGCTTGAACCACCAACCTTTAGGTTAGCAGCCAAGCACTTAACTAGTGTGCTACAAATGGATTAACTTAAATGAAATAGACAAATTTTTAGAAGCATACAACCTAACCAAAGTGACCCAAGAGGAAATAGAAACTCTCAACAGACACATAACATGCAAAGAAATCAAATCAGTGATTGAAAACCTCCCAACAAAAAGAAAAAGTCCTGGACAAGATGGCCCCACTGGGGAATTCTACCAAACATTTAGAGAAGAATTGACACAAAACTATTTAAACTCTTCCAAATGATAGCAAAGGAAGGAATACTCCCTAATTGATTCTATGAAGCAAACATAACCCTAAGAACCAAACCAGACACAGACACCACAAGAAAACTACAGGCCAGTATCTCATGAATATAGATACAAGAACCTTCAACAAAATAGTAGCAAAGAGAATCCAACAGCATATTAAAAGTCATACACCATGACCAAAGTAGGGTTTATTCCAAGAATACAGGGATGGTTCAACATTAGAAAATCAATTAACATAATACACCATATCAGGGTTGCTGTTGTTAGGTGCTGTCGAGTTGGCTCCAACTCATAGCAACCCTAGTACAACAGAACAAAACACTGCCTGGTACTGCACTGTCCTCACAATCTTTGCTATGCGTGCACCAATCATTGCAGCCACTGTGTCAGTCTATCTCATTGAGGGTCTGCCCCTTCTTTGATGACCCTCTACTTTACCAAACATGATATCCTTCTCCAGGGAATAGCCTTTTCTGACAACATGACCAAAGTAGGTGAGATGAAGTCTAGCCATTCTCACTTCCAAGGAGCATTCTGGGTGCACTTCTTCCAGGACAGATTTTTTCACTCTTCTGGCAGTCCATGGTTTTTTCAACATTCTTCACCAACACCGTAGTTCAAAGGCATCATCTTTCTTCAGTCTTCCATATTCATTGTCCAGCTTTCACATGCATCTGAGGCAGTTCAAAATACCATGGCTTGGGTTAGGCACACCTTAGTCTTAAAAGTGACATCTTTGCTTCTTAGCACTTTGCCCAGTTCAGTACAATGTCTGATTTCTTGACTGCTGCTTCCTTGGATGTTGACTGTGGATCCAAGTAAAATGAAATCCCTGACAAACTTCAGTCTTTTCTCTGTTTATCATAATGTTGCCTGTTGGACCAGTTATGAGGATTTTCATTTTCTTTATGTTAAGGTGTAATCCATACTGAAGACTGTAATCTTTGATCTTCATCAGTAAGTGTTTCAAGTCATTTTCACTTTCAGCAAGCAAGGTTGTGGCATCTGCATATTGCAGGTTGTTAATGATTGTTCCTCCAATCCTGGGGCCATGTTCTTCTTGATATAGTCCATCTTCTCAGGTTATTTTCTCAGCACACAGATTGAATAAGTATGGTGAAAGGATACAACCCTGATGGTACACCCTGCCTGATTCTAAACCATGCAGTATTCCATTCTTCTGTTCAAATAGCTGCCTCTTGGTCTGTGTACAGTTTCCACTGAAACTTGTCCACTATGGGTGACCGTGCTGGTGTTTGAAATACCATTGGCATAGCCTCCAGCCTCACAGCAACATTCAAGCCCCCACAGCATGACAAACTGACAGACTTTGGCACCATGTCAGTAGAACAAAGGAAAAGAACCACAGGATCATCACAATAGATGCATAAAAAGAATTTAATAAAATTCAAACCTTTTCTTGATGCCTGAAGAAGTTTGGAATAGAAGGAAATTCCTCAATATAATTCAGGGCCTATACGAAAAGCCAACAGCCAGCATTATACTTACAGGAGAAAGACCGAGAGCATTCTCCTTGCAATTGGGAACAAGATAAAAGTGCCTACCCTCACCATTTCTATTCAATATTGGATTAGAAGTCCGAGCCAGTGCAATAAGACAAGAAAAAGAGATAAAAAAGGAAAAAGAAATAAAAAGTATCCATATTGGAAGTAAAATTATCTCTATTCATGGAGGACCTGTATATAAAATATCCCAAGAGTCCACAAGAAAACTTTTAGAGCCAGTGGAAGAATTTAACAAAGTTGCAGATACAAGGTCAAGAAATGAAAATCAGCTGGGTTTCTATACAACAGCAGTGAAAAATCTGAAAGGGAAAGTAGGGAAACAATTCCATTTATAATAGCACATAAGAGAATAAAATATTTACAAAAAAAATCTAACTGGGGACATGAAGGACTTATACTATGAAAACTATAAAACTGCTGAAAGAGATTAAATAAGTCTTAAATAAATAGAAAGGTGTTTCATGTTCATGGATTATAAGACGTAATATTGTTAACATGTTAAGACTGCCCAAAGTGAATGCAATCCTGATCAAAATTCCAACAGCCTTGTTTACAGAAATAGAAAAAAAACAATCCTCAACTTTTTATGGAATGGCAGGAGGCCCCAAATAGCTAAAACAATGTTGAAAGAGAAGAGCAAAGTAGGAAGACTCACACTTCTTGATTTTAAAACATACGTTGTTGATTTTAAAAACATATGTTGTTG